CCTCCAGACCCTGCGCCCCCGGCTGGGCGCTTCCCCTCCCGGGCTCCAGCTGTGCTGGGCAAGCGCTGGCTGGGGGCGCAGGGTCTGGAGGCTGCCGGGCAAACCGTGAAGCCGGTAGCGCTCGGGCAGCCCTTTCCCCATGGCTGGGAGTGGGAGGGGGGGAGTTAGGGCAGGGAAGGGGTGGAGTTGGGTGGGGGTGGGGAAATGGGCAGGGCCACGGCCCATGGAGGGTCCTCTTTTTTTATTTAATAGATATGGTAACCCTATTAAAGCTAGCACAGCAAGATAAGGGGAAGCAAATAGATTCCGGGGTTATTTTCTTGAGGATAAATGTCTGTGCTTGATAAGTATCAGGACATGAAACAAAAAGCAACCACATTTAACCAATCAACACCCAAGGAGAGAACTGGATAGGGACAGAAGACCTCAAACACCAAAGCACTAAGCCAATAGGAAATGCTCCGTAATGCTTTGCTTATAGGCTTGGCTTTATTTGAGCTGGTTTGGAGTATTAGGATATAACAGCACTTCTTTGAAACTGGTATCTTGTTCGCCACAATTTCAGCTTCCATAAAAGTTAGGGACAGTTTAGTCACATAAAGCCTCAAAAATGTAAACCATGTGTACCCAACTCAGCAATATCAGTAACTCTATGGAAACTGTGGAACAATGGCTCTGACAGGTGTGACCTACCCTTTCATCTCAGGAAAATATTAACTGTCAATGGATACCTGCGTTAAAGATGCTATTTAAACTAATTTCATTGCTCCTGTAAGAACTGAGAGGAACACAGATCTGCAGTTTACTGTAAGTGACATCTCACAGACTAGTGCTAAAAAAAAATGGTGACATTTGAAAGATATCACCACTTCTTTCCCTTTAATTAAAAGGAACCATGCCGAAGAAGCCCAATGGAGCCTAGGAGCATATTCAAGTCCTAGCAAGGGGAAGCCAAAGGTAGTGGAGCTCATTGTATCTGCACAATCAACTGTAAAAGAGCAGCTTACATAGGTGAAGTTTATTTTACAAGCAAAGCTGCCAAGAGCATTACTATTTTCCTCCTCTCCCCCTTCCAGACACATGTATAGATTGAAAGAGGGGCAGCAAGAAATAAACTGAATATAAAACACAACACTATCTCCATTAATTTTCATCATATTTAATTCAATTCAAGTTTATCTAACTGACAGTTTTCAGTGTAGTGCAGTTTAGTGCTGCAGAAGCCAAGGAGTCTTGCCCCACAATTTAAGACTGGATTGCTATAGAGGACCTTGGAAAAAGAGGACATGTACGTGAGAGGTAGGACTTAAAAAAAAAAAAAGTTGAAAATATGAATTGCCTAATTTAAATAAAAAAATAATCAGAAAACAAATGTTACAGACTTCTAGAATGTTTCCATAATGTCACTGAAGGTTAGTACAGGTAAACATCAGACAACATTTCAATCAGAAAATACTTTGTTACCAAATCTTCAGCTGATAAGTTAATTACCAGATCTCCTTTTTGGATTTATTTTAACACCCTGTAATTTTGAGAGCACAAAAATTATGCCATATACAATGCTCTCTGAGGTCAAGGCCAAGCAGAAACACTATAATGCTGGAAAGAGTCCTGCAGTGTACTTCTCAAGTGATTTAAGATATTACATTTTTAGTGTTATTGCATACTAATTCTAAAAAGCCACAAATTTACAATTACAGCAGAAAAATTAAGTTTGTGATATCCCAAAGTGAAAAGCAGAAAAGAAACTACATGTAATTAAGATTACAATAGTTGGCAATCTACATATTGCCCAAGTAGGTTTAGGTTTACACAAGCACTTTATCTTGCCATAAACATGAAAAAAAATTTTTGCTAGCATATTTAGGGACGCTAGTTAGATAGCTAAATTCAGACAACATACAAATATGAGGTAAGCAATTCTTAAATTAATATTTTAATTAGTTTATATTTTCTTCAGGAACAGTAGTCAACTTGTTTAGCTGTGCAACAAACCTTTTTTCATAGAAAAAAATACAGTACTTGCAAGCCAAAGGAAATTAAATTACAAATAAACACTGTTCAGTGATCCACTCATTTATTTTACCTTAGTTCAAGGCAGGCTAAGTACAGATACTGTACATTAAAATGTGCACATAGGGAACGTGTTCCTAATTCTACCTTTAAGGACCAATTTCTACATTCTTTTTTTAGGCCCTTTCCCAAATTTGATCCTTCGCTGAAGCATGTTTTGTGTGTACTTAAATGTAGAGAGATCCATCTGCAGGCCCCACGTATCCAACTCCTATTAGTAGCACATCTATTAGTGTCCATATTCCCAATCCACCAAAGCTGAAGAGTTTGCCCAGACCTTCCCTCCACTGGCCCAAGTAGAAGCGATCTGCTCCAAATCCACCAAGGGTGATGCTAGGAATACAACATAACAATTCATTAAAATAGTTGTGGAGAATCCCGAATTTGTATGTCAACTCACCTTTAAATATTTACAGCACACTGATAGTAATTTTATATCATATCATATACCGTCAGGAAACTATGAATATCTTATGCAAAGTGGCTGGAGGACTTTACAAGCAATAGTGGTAAAAATGTTTTGATAGAAATATGTATTAAAAAGCACTAGTTTTTAATTTAAAATATTTCTCCAAGTCTTTTGTGAAACTCTGCAGATACAAGATATGAAATAATTTATGTTATTTTAAGTTTCTTTTCATAAGAAAGTTGGCCAGTGAGCTGCTCTGACTTTGGGCTCCAAGTTTCCTGAACTGGCAGGGGCTGGAAAACGCTAGAGAAAGGAGGAGACTCTGCTCTTGTGGTGTTTGGGTAAAGCTTAGTTTCTCCAGCTGCAGGCAGAGAGGGGAATGGTTCTAGCTCCAAAAGAAAGCATGTCGGACCAGTTTTCTAACAAAACATCTATTACTTTTTTTGTTCACATAACTTATGATAAATCAGGTAGTACAGGCTCTCATAGCAGCCCTTATATAATTCACCTTTTAGGGGAATTTTGAATGAAACTTAAAAAAAAAGGAAATAATTCTTGTTTCACAGTCAAGTTGTACAAATATATTGAGGTCCTGTGGCAACATCCAAACCACCACAGTGAGTACAATGCTTTGGTGCTTAGTGTGTGAAGAATCAAAAGTTACAGCCTGGTTTAACAGTATAGCATAGTGGCACCTCTCCCAAGTGGTCATTTTGTGTTCCAAGATTTCAGTTCTCTTTTTAAAAGAGTTGATACCTGTCATGAGCCAGCTATAACCAGCGTAATAACATCTACTCAAGTCTGGAACAACTCTAAAAGAGTGAACTGCCCCATACATCTCAGTTGCCCAATGATAATTTACATCTCAACATTGTTAGCTGTTTCATTGCTCATTAAACTGTGTGAGAAAGGAAGTGCAGTATTCATAGATTTTGGCTTGTAGAGGCTAAGTCAGGGGTAGGCAACCTATGGCATGCATACCGAAGGCGGCACACGAGCTGATTTTCAGTGGCACTCACACTGCCCAGGTCCTGGCCACCGGTCCGGGGGGCTCTGCATTTTAATTTAATTTTAAATGAAGCTTCTTAAACATTTTAAAAACCTTATTTACTTTACATAAAACAATAGTTTAGTTATATATTATAGACTTCTAGAAAGAGACCTTCTAAAACGTTAAAATGTATTACCGGCACGCGAAACCTTAAATTAGAGTGAATAAATGAAGTCTCAGCACACCACTTCTGAAAGGTTGCCGACCCCGGGCTAAGTGAACCATGGGCCAAATCCAGATCGCCAGATGCTTTTGAATAGACCGCAAAAATCTTATTTACTTATCATCATCATGATTGTTATTATGACCTGAAAAATGTTTCTCTGGAGTCTGAACCTTGACTATATCTTGACCAAGAAATTTGGACTTTGACAAAAAAAAATTGTTGACTGCTCCTGCTCTACAATGAGCAAAGGTTCATTTTGGCACCATGAGCGGATGCTGTTTGGGAAACACCACCATTGTTTTCTTTCCTCCAGTCAAAGAATCTAATAAAGTCCAGCCAGGGCATCAAGCCCCAAAGAGATGGCCAAACTCAGTATGGTATGAATGGTCACAACAGATTGTACAAACAAACAAACTCTCATTTTGGTTATTCCCTTAAGTGGAGCTCTTTCTATGGCTAAAGCTTCAAAGAATACCACCTCCCTCCACCCAACACACACATATCTAAATTTGACCCCAGTAGTATGGAAAAAAGCTAACATTGGCCATTTTATATTAAATCATAAGCTTACTTTTGGTCAAAAGTCTCAGAAAATATTAAATATTTTGAACTCAGTTTAGTTTAAGTTTAGGAAATATACCACTGAAAAGAGAAACCCATTTAAGGAAACAGGTTTCAGAGTGGTAGCCATGTTAGTCTATATCAGCAAAAAGAACGAGGAGTACTTGTGGCATCTTAGAGACTAACAAATTTATTTGAGCATAATCTTTCGTGGTCTACAGCCCACTTCATTGGATACATGCAGTGGAAAATACAGTAGGAAGATTACACACACACACACACACACACACCCACACACACACCCCATGAAAAAATGGGTGTTGCCATACCAACTGTAACAAGAGTAATTAAGGTGAGCTATTATCAGCAGGAGAAAAAAAAACTTTTGTAGTGATAATCAGGATGGCCCATTTCCAACAGTTAACAAGAAGGTGTGAGTAACAGTAGGGGGGGGAAAAATTAGCTTGGGGAAACAGTTTTTACTTTGTATAATGACCCATCCACTCCCGCAGTCTTTATTCAAGCCTAATTTAATGGTGTCTAGTTTGCAAATTAACTCCAATTCTGCAGTTTCTCATACACCATCATAGGACCTAATCACATCAGCCACACAATCAGAGGCTCTTTCACCTGCACATCTACCAATATGATATATGCCAACACGTGCCAGCAATGTCCTTCTGCCATGTACATTGGCCAAACCGGACAATCTCTATGCAAAAGAATAAATGGACACAAATCAGACATCAAGAATTATAACATTCAAAAACCAGTCGGAGAACACTTCAACCTCCTTGGTCACTCAATTACAGATCTCAAAGTCGGAATACTCCAACAAAAAAACTTCAAAAACCGATTCCAATGAGAAACTGCAAATTAATTCCAATTCTGCAAACTAAACACCATTAAATTAGGCTTGAATAAAGACTGGGAGTGGATGGGTCATTATACAAAGTAAAAACGGTTTCCCCATGCTAAAATTCCCCCCCTCCCACTGTTACTCACACCTTCTTGTCAACTGTTGGAAATGGACCATCCTGATTATCACTACAAAAGTTTTTTTTCTCCTGCTAATAGCTCACCTTAATTAATTACTCTCGTTACAGTTGGTATGGCAACACCCATTTTTTCATGTTCTCTGTGCATATATATATCTGCCTACTGTATTTTCCACTGCATGCATCCGATGAAGTGGGTTTTAGCCCACGAAAGCTTATGCTCAAATTTGTTAGTCTCTAAGGTGCCACAAGTACTCCTCATTCTTTTTCCATTTAACGAAAGGCATTCATACACAATTTGAACTTGAAGTTCTGCAATACTTTGAGTGTACCTTAGTGCCAAGGCTGTAGACCATTTATAGCCTCCAGTCCAGTTGCAGTAAAGCATCTTAGGAAAGACACGATTACCTGAGAAGAGAAATGAAATACATTCAAATCCTAATGCCATGAACAAAGGCCAAAGATTGACTCAGGAACTGAAATCTGAGGTGCAAATATGCCATATTACTCTTCACAACAAATATCTGTTCTGCATTTAAATAGCATCAGTATCTCAACCTGTCTTTTCTGATGAGACCACAGTATGAAAGCCTGAACACTATCTCCATTTCCTATACTTTCCTAGATTGGTGTTGCTTTGGTGGAAACCTAATTAAGGAAAATCAAGAGCCAAGTCTATTGATTTAGACCCTATATTAAATTTCTTGTGATTTCAAATGTTAATTGACAGGATGTTTTTAATTTATGGCATAAATAACACCTCAATGCAAATTCTGTTGACGCTGCATCAAATAATTCCATTGAAGAAAGTGAACACAGGAGAGAAAACACTCCCAATAACCCTAATGTAAGACTTCTGTTGTACTGTTGAGACAATGGTTCTAAGCATATCATAATTTTAAAATATTAAGTGTCAGACTAGAAAGTGAAACTAAACAATGCACAGTATCTTAACAAAAAACAAACTAGACATTGAAATAAGTTATATGCATGTTTATCCACTACACTGAACAAACGTATGTTCAAGAGTTCTTCACAAAAGAATCCTCTTTAAACCATTCATTCGTAGACCAACTTACCTAGACAATGAATATGATCATGCACTGTACAAGTGGCGTTATATCGTTGTCTTGGACAAGAGACTGTCATGCAACTTGTAGAATTGGTACACACATAATCAGTAGGTTCAAGCTGCCAGCAAAACTGGCAAGTCATGTTGATTGTGAAGTTCTCCACTTCATTGTTTCTCTGATCCTATATAAGAAGAGTATTATCAATGTAAATAATCTTAAACATTATATCAAGAATGTTTCACAGGATATAAATAAATACTTCTCACAGATTTCACTGCTGTGCAAAGACAGAACAACAAGATGGACAAGCTGTTTTATTTGCTACCTATACATTATATTCAGCACTTAGATAGTTGGGTAATGGATACTAGAGAAGTGTTAAAGAAATAATTATACTTGATAGGTAACTGTATTTATGCCTAGAAATTTGTTTTGTAACATATTTATGAGTTTTAGGACATAATTTAAACTACACTGTACCTTTAACAAGTGACAAATTCAAACTACAAAGAAATAGGTTAATTACTTACAACACAATGAATTTGTGGCTTAATCTTGCAATCAAAAGTGGCTGGCTTCCCATATACACAGGAGAAGTTTGTTTTACATGTCATGCAGTCTGGAGGCAATTTGCTGCACAGCCCATTGCTGGGACACTTACTCACATAAGATGGAATCTCCGTAGTCTCTGAAGGGTGAAAGGATTTGTTAAGAATAAGAGCTTCAGCATTACCTACACTACAGTATAGGCACACACTTCTACTGTAGGTTACTTTAAATAATTTCATAATAAAGTACTCTCCACTTACAGCTAACATAAACCAGTATCTCATATATTAAGGCATCCCGCCTCTAACAGCAACCAGTATCAGCTGCTTCCAAAGGAAGAACCCTGCAGCAGAGCTCAGCAGCAGCCAGCATTGGCCATACACCATATAACAGCATTTATAAGTCCATTGCTACCTTGTCCCACCATGCCATCAGCGCCCCCTTCTGAGACACCTGGTCTATCAGCCACTACTCCCTCCTGAAAGCACAGGGCTGGAGCACACAAGCACAGATTGGAGAGCATCAGCTCCTGTGACCTCCTGCAGGGAGTGAAGATTCCTCCCCCTCATATTTGTCACCTCCAAACCTGGGAAATGGATCAAGATCCTGATGCCAGTCTTCCCCCTCCCACCACGGTCTGCATCAGTTCTGTGTGAAGTATGAGAGTCTAAATCAGTTGAGGGAAGGGCAGAATGAAGTGGTCTGTGTTGTGGGGAACACCAAAATTAATTGGTGGGTGTTTTCAGCAGTGGGAAAAGCACTGACACATCCCAACCTTCTTCTTCCCCATACCTCCCAGCTCACACCACGGAGCCAAATCTGACCCCTGCCCTCCAGTAAAATGTATGGGATAATCTGTCCCAGGAAAAATGTCTTCATACCCTAAGAAGATCAAAGGTCAGTTTATAACCTGAAGCTTGAAGGTTTATATTCCTTCCAAAGCCATTTCAATATTTTACAGTTCTAACTTTGGATGCTTATTATCCATATAAACATGGAATCCTTTTCTTTTTTTTTTTCTTCTTCCAATCAGGCTATGCTTTAAGCCTCGGTAATATCTTGTACAATAAAATCCTGTCTAATTATGCACTATATAAAAATATTCCACTTTCCATAAAGTTATGAATTTGCCACCATTTAATTTAACTCAATGTCCTTTTGTTTTAGATGAATAGTGCCTAAGACCAGAAGGGATCACCGTGATCCTCTAGTCTGACATCTTGCATAACACACCCCATAGAACGTTCTTGAATTAATTCCTGTTTCAACTACAGCATCTCTTTTCGAAAAACATGCAATCTTGATTTAAAAATTGCCAGTGATAGAGAAGCCACCACAAACCTTGGTAAGTTATTTCAATTATTAATTGCCCTCATTGTTAAAAAAATATACACCTTATTTAAAGTCTGAATGTGTCTAGTTTCAACTTCTAGCCATTAGATCTTGTTATACCTTTGTCTGCTAGACTGAAGAGCCCATTAGCAAATATTTGTCCCCCACATAGCACTTACAGACTGTAATCAAGTCACCCCTTAACCTTCTTTGTTAAGCTAAATAGATTGAACTATTTGAGCTGTAAGGCATGTTTTCCACTCCTTTAATTGTTCTCGTGGCTCTTCTCTGAACCTTCTCCAATTTATCAACAACCCTCTTAAATTGTGGACACCAGAACAGGACACATTATTCCAGTAGCGGTCATATTAATCTCAATACAGAGATAGCAATAACCCTACTCCCTACTACTTGAGATTCCTGTTATTCCTGTTTATGCCTCCAACGATCATAAAAGATAATTTTGGCCACAGCATTGCCCTGGGAGCTTACACTCAGCTGATTATCCACCAGGACCCTCAAGTCCTTTTCAGAGTCACTGCTTCCCAGGATAAAGTCCTCCATCACGTAAGTATGGCCTACATTCTTGGTTCCTACATGAACAATTTTACATTTGACAGCTTACCAAGTGATCCAGATTGCTCTATATCAATGACCTGTCCTCTTCATTATTTACCACTCACCCAAACTGTGTCATTTGAAAACTTTATCAGTAGTGACTATGTTTTATTTCACATTAATAAAAAGTATTAAATAGCAAAGGGCTTATATCATGAGAAATAGAAAATACATGTCCCTGTGGTTTCTACTTATCCTTTTTGAGACGGGGTAACCAGAACTGAATACAGTATTACAGGTTACGTTACTGATTTATATAATGGGATAGTATTTTCCATATTAGAATGCCTAAGGAACAGGATGGATAATAACACTGTTTGCTTTTATGACTGCTGATGAGCAGTGAGCTGTCCAAAACGACATCCAGGTCTTTCTCCCCCATCTCTAGTTAACAGAGATAATTTAGAACAAGTAATTAGAAGGTGTCTGAGTAGTTTAAAATTTTCCCTCCAGTGTTCACAAAACAATTTAATCATCCAGTGTGTTCTTCATTCACTTAGCTTCATTTAATATTCTTCATGGTCTTCTCTGGTTTTGACCTACCTAAATAATTTTGTGCTGTCTGTAAAGTTCTGACATCTCAGCCCTTTTTGAGATTAATACATTAACCACCACTAGCCTTAGTGGAGTGACACAAGGTTCTGTACTGCTACCTTAACTTTTTGCCATGATGAAAATTGAACCAATATATCTATCCAAAGACCTCAAAGTGTTTAAACAGTAATAGGATCTCAAACATATTTACAGAGTTCTATTAGCCAATATCATATTTTCAGAATGCTGTATAGTCATGCTAAGTTGTATAACTATAAAATGTACTCTCAGAATGCTTTGTATTGATAATAGATTTCTTGTGGAAATTTACTTGGCATTAAACTGCTGTAACCTCTCTTTCCTACGCATGTGTATCATCTGTCAGAATAAGATGGATATTCTGTTGAGTCTCGCCAAATATGAACAGTGTGCTAGGTATGGCTGGTAGAGAGGTCTTTGTCCTCTATAAAATATATACAGTACTAAATAGAGGAAGGGTGTATAATCTTTGGTAATGCACTAGAATTTGTGGAATCTTAGATCTGTTGTAAACAAGAAGAATATAAACAGAAGCAGAATTGAGCTAATATTTTGGAACAGACGAAAGATGTAAACACTGTAAGACTGTTCCCCATATTGGTAGTATATTAAACTTTCTGTATTGTGCTTATCTACCTTTGATTAATAAACTGATTGAGCCTGGTTATCTGACATCATATCAGTAAAGGAACTGAACTCTGAATAACTGTTTTTATTACTGTTAAATTACTAGTCAGATTGGACACTTTTACCCTCTTCCATAAATACTCAAGCTACAAGTGTCAAAATGACATAACTTTTTAACACGACTTCTGTTTCTTATACTAGAGTCATAAACACCAGTTATTAACAGTAGCACATTTTACACTTAATTTATAGTTCACTGGCTGGGACCTCCCACTATGCTCTCCCGTCCACCAAGTTTATTCTTCATCCAAGCCTCCCCAAGGGCACTACCCATGCAAACCCATAAAAGCAGAAAAATGATCAGTAAGAGACCTTGGTTCTATACCTGGCTCTGCTATGGACCTGCTGTGTGACCCTGGTCAAGTCACTTTAACCATGTCTGCATGTGTCTTGTCTCCCACCCTTTATCTGTTCTTGTCCGTTTAGATTGTAAGCCTTCTGAGGCAAAACTATCTTACTACGTTTGTGCAATGGGGCTGATTTCAGTTGGGGTCTTTAGGTGCTAACAAAAGTTATTTGTGTTAAGGGGATCTTAAGAACGTGTAAATATGAGAATGGCCATGCTGAGTCAGACCAATGGTGAATCTAACCCAGTTTCCGGTCTTCCAACAGCAGCCAGTGCCAGCTGCTTCAGAGAATCAACAGAACAGGGCAATTATCAAGTGATCCATCCTGTCATCCAGGGCCAGGTTCTGGCAGTCAGAGGTTTAGATAAACATAGTGCATGGGAAATAGCCATTCATGGACCTATCCCTCCATGAACTTATCTAATTGTTTTTTGAATCTAGCTATACTTTTGGCCTTCACAACATACCATGACAATGAATGCCACAGGATGACCGTACATTGTGTGAAATACTCTTATATTTGTTTTAAACATGGCTGCCTATTAATTTCATTGGGTGGTCCCTGATTCTTGTGTTATGCGAAGGGGTAAATAACACTTCCCTATTCACTTTCTCCACACATTCATGATTTTATAGACCTTTGTCATATCCCACTCAGTCATCTCTTTGTTCAGCTTAGAAGTCACAGTCTTTTAAAAATCTCTTATATTGAAGCTGTTCCATACCCTTAATCATTTTTGTTGCCCTTCTCTGCACCTCTTCCAATTGTAATATACCTTTTTTGAGATGGGGCAACCAGAACTGCATGTAGCATTCAAGGAGTGGTGTATCTTTTATTTATTTCACAAATGCCAACATCCACACATCACATTAGCCACTCACCTTCCTATTCCACACATCCCCAAAGAACCCATTTCCAACTCACATCCAGAAAACTTAATTCTAACCTAATACTTTCTCCACAAAACACCTAAGTCATCACATACTTACTCAGTGCACATTTGTGAATAGTAAGTATGTAAATACGGTGGAGACTGGAGTTGAAGTTTTGCATAACAATGAATTACCTATATTTGAATTGGGTGTGAGGTGGAAGCAGATTCTTATGGAATCACAGTGAAGCAATTAAAATACCTGATTTTAATCAAGATTTAAATCAATGTTAATCTTGTTTTGCATGCGTCCTTTAGCTGTTTTCCTAAATGAAGGTTTCTCCTCATTGGTAGCTAACCATTAAAACATGTTGATTTGCATCTTAGGCTATGGCTACACTGGTGCTTTACAGCGCTGCAACTTTCTCGCTCAGGGGTGTGAAAAAACACCCCATGAGCGCAGCAAGTTACAGCGCTGTAAAGCACCAGTGTAATCCCCTTGTGGAGGTGGAGTACCTACAGCGCTGGGAGAGCTCTCTGGCACGCGACCACAGTCGCACTTCAAAGCGCTGCCGTGGGAGCGCTCCCGTGGCAGCACTTTGAAGTTTCGAGTGTAGCCACGGCCTTAATATAGCCTTTACACTATATTTCAAACTTCTCTTTGCTAATCAGGATACACTATGTCTATACACATTTAAACAATTTTATAGCTTAATGTTTTCAGATTCTTAATTTACTTTTTTACTTGTAAAAATTATGAATGATGCATCTCTTATTTACTAGATTAATTTTTACTCATGTTTTGTGCCAATCTGCATTTGGATAGAAATTGGAATTAAATTAAAAATGCACAAAAACATCATTTTAAAATTGTTTTCTATTAAATAAGACTGCTTTTAATTTGCTGTATACATAAGAAAAAACTTATCAAAGCCTATTTTGCATTTAAAGCTGATATATTACACAAAGGAAGTATTATCTGTAAATAGTGAATTGTACTGATTGTCCTTAATCACCATTTTCATCAATATTTTAGAACTAGTAGAGCTCATCCTCTAACACCTTGCTTTTATTCCTAGATTCTAAGGAAAACAAGATTTCCTGCTTTTTCAATTCCCAATCAGTTTCTCAACTTTGAATAAGCAAGTCATTGAACTGAACTAGTTGTATGAACTCAAATGAAGAAAATATTCTCTGTGCCTGCACAAGAGGCTACTGCTGTCAAAAGCTGGTTTAGCACTTCAAAAGTGACTTCCACCAGTCCAGTGGACTTTACAACTTTTCTTTAAAATTTCAGCAGCAAACATGTTCTTCTTGAATCTTTTAATTAAACTAGTTAACAGATTACAGTAGATTGTCAATTTGAAATGTAATTTTAAATAGGTTTACTTTTAAAAAACAAAAAAATCTATGTAAACAAAAAAAATCAGATTCAAATAAAAAAAATCCAATATTTTAGGTTTTTGGTTTAAAAAAAAAAATCATTGTTTTATATCCAACCTGTGTGGAAGCATGGAGTGTCACTGAATGGCTAATGTGACATGCAGGTGTCAAGTCTGTGAATGTAGGTTTCCTTAAATTATCATGTGGGGTTTGCATGGATGGGTTTTTCATTTACACAACCTAACTAGCAGTTATAGTCTTTTGGAAAATAATTCATGGTGCTCAGGGTATGTCCACACTGCAATCAAAACCCATGTCTGGCCTGTGCTGCCTGACTCAGGCTCGGGGGTGTAGACACTGGTTTTGGGCTTCTAGGACCCAATGAGGTGGAGGGTCCCAGAGTTTGGGCTGGACCCTGAGTCCCAGCTTCTACACCACAATTAAAAAGCTCTTTAGCCCGAGCCGCACAAGCCCAAGTCAGCTGGTGCTGGCCAGCTGTGGATATCTAACTGCAATGTAGACATACTCACAGGGTGCAGTGTACCTTTTAATGATGAAATACTCTGTACAGTTAGTTTTCTAATACCTCATTCAAGAATTTTACTATTAAACTCAGGACTATTAGGGAAAAGGCTTGTATGGATATCATTGGAACAGTTTACCAAGGGTTGTGGTGGATTCTCTAACACGAATTTTGATTCAAAATAGTTAAAGACTATGTTTTTCTAAAAGATATGCTGCATGCATTATTTTGGGAAAT